AGAGAGAGAGAGAGAGAGAGAGAGAGAGAGAGAGAGAGAGAGAGAGAGAGAGTCAGGTCCTAATGGACTTCTATTTTAAGCCCTACCTCTCCACACAGGTCTAGGTGTCAAGGGTAGCACTGTCATCACACCATTACAGCCAAAGTCACAAACACATACACGACTACTTGTATTCCTGTGAGGAAGACCCCAATTCTACAACAATGCCACACATTCACAGGTATGTGCCAAGTCCTAGCCTTCCCCTAGATCCAAAGCTCCATTCATGTAGCTAGGGGGAAAACTCCTGGGACTCACAACCTGGGAAGGGTTCCCACAGGCCTGCATGCATGATTGTTTGCATATGTGCATGTGTGCATGCTTGCATTTGTATGTTTGTGTTAACCTGGTGTATTGCTGTGGGGAAGAAGGTACCCAGCAGATCCTAAAACCTAACCATGTTTCTGTATGTGCAACTTTGGTTGTAAGGCTAGAGACAAATACCTGAGCCTGACACTTGCCTTATATGAATATGAGAGCTGTGCCTGGGTGTTTGCCCATGTTCAGGGTTCCTAGCAGGATGTGACGCCTAGCTTGTACATGGGACTCTACTGTATTGCAGTGGATCTCTATGAGTTCATGATACCTAGGTGCATAAGAGGAATATTGGCTGTAGGGAAGAGTGGACCTAACAGAAGCTGACACCTGGCCCTGTTTTAGATGCTTTGGCTCTAAGGAAGCTGGAAATCCAACAGATCCTGCCATGTAATTGCACTAGTTTGTGTGTGTGTGTGTGTGTGTGTGTGTGTGTGTGTGTGTGTGTGTGTATGTATGTATTGTGTGTTGATGAGGGGGTGGCTTTGCCTATAATGGAGACAATAACTCTGAAGGTCCAGTCAAATCACATGTATTGGGAATCTGGCTCTAGGCAAATGTATAACTAACAGTACAGGGTCTTAGATGTACATATATACATGTGTGTATGTGACAGAGCGAGGGGATGCAGTGGGAGAGGGGAGAGAAAGAGACAGAGAGATTGGCTTTAGTAATGGACACCTAGCAGCAGAAGCAACTTGTTGGCTGTGTGTAAATAGGGCTTTGGCTCTGTGTGGGACACCTCACAGGACCTAACCCCTAGAGGTGTATGTGGGGTTGTTTATGTATGGGTGATTCCTCTACCTCACAGGACTTCATACCTAGAAGTATATGTGGGGCTTTCCTTGTATGGTGGCTATCTTCTAGGACCTGATAGCTAGCTGAGAGTGTAATGAATTCCTGAAGAAATTTATAGGAGCATGCATGCCTGAGTGTGTTTCTGAGTGTGTGAGTGTGTACCTAGCATTTGATTATAGGGGAGGGGGTGCATATTGGTAAAGTAGCTGTGTAAGAATATTGCACTATGAATATAGAAAAAGAGGTAGGTATCGGGACCTGACACCTAGCCCTGAGTAGACAGCTTTGTCTGTTATGGAGTGGGAACAGCAGGACCTGACCTCAGACTCTGTGTCTCTCTGTCTGTCTCTTTGTCTCTGTCTCTGTCTGTCTCTGTTTATGTGTTTGGCTGCAGGGGATGGACACCCAGAAGGGCAGCACTTTGTCAGCTGTGTGTAAATAGGGATTTGGCTGAATGGGGGAGACCTTGTTGACATGACAGCTAGATGAAAGTGCATGAGCACGTGCATGGGATCATACAAGCATGTGTATCTGAGTGTGATTGAGTGTGTGGCTTTGTACAAGGCATTTGACTATAGGGGAGGGGTACCAGTACTAGAAATCTAGCTGAGTAACTGTATGGTCCTTTGGATGTAGGGGAAGAGGTGTCCAGCAGGATCTGACGCCTAGTTCTGGGTGTGTTGCACTGATGTAGCTTAGGCAATTCCTATCAGGAATGTGACCTAACCACGTATATATATGTGGTCATATGGGAAGAGATAAATACTGGCCCCTGACACTTGTGTCATAGTATGTGGGCGTCTGTTTATGGCTTCTGCTGCTGTAGGTAAGGGGATCCTTAGAAATACCAGATACCCAGCCCTATGCATGGGGTTTTAGCCATGGTATTGTTGATCTTGTGGAGGACAAGCTACCCAACTGTATGAGAGGAACATTTTCTTTAATGGACCATTGACCTACCGGACCTCACGGCTAGGCATGTGTGTTTGGCACCTGCTGTAGAAGACATTTTTCAGAGTAGACGCTGACTCCTAGCAATGTGGGGGTGGGTTTTAAGTGTGGGGACACCTTACAAATGGTGATACCTAGTGTTGTTGGCAAAGAGAAAACTTGGCTTCTTGGTACAGTAAAAATAAAGTCAAATTCCTCCCCCAGGCCTGTATTCATCAAGCCTCACATTTCTTGTTTTCTACCCTTACTCTTCAAAATCTCTCAAGTCCATGTCTTGAATATACATTCTCAGATCAATTTCATTAATAATATACTGACCCTGGGTTTCTATTTGCCTAGTCACTGACTCATTTTCTCTAAGACAGCTATCCCCATGACAATGCAGCACACTCTCTGACCACTCACAAATTCAAACACACGTGTACATGCACGTGCACCCCCCCCACACACACTTGTCCTTATATCATCATCATCTTTAGCACTGTTCCACATACAGTACTATTGAACAGACAAGGCTGAAAAAAACCCTGGTATCCTACATAGACTGCTAGGTGTCATGTCCTAAGGAATCTATACAGCTCCCAACTGATGCCACCCAACATACACTGTTGTGTTCATAAGACATACTGTAGAGCATCTTCCTGCTTCTCCCACAGAGACTCATCCCACTATCAGGGGCTGCCCACACAACCGGCCTTGCTAGCTACTGCCCCCCAGTCCTCCTGCCAAACCCACCAACTAGTTACCAGGCCCGGCTGGACACTCCTACCCCTGCCACTATAGCCTGAAACACACTGCTTGGTTTCAGGCTTTGCTGCACACCTGCCTGAGGCCTGGATGCCCTACTGTGTATCACATCCTCAGGGCTCCCCAGTCCTAACCCGGATATTGTGCATGATAATGGCCTTATCTAATAAGTTTCTCTTCCTTCACCCATCCTGCTGCCACAATAGCCCTGCTAATATTCAGCTGTGCTTAGACCCATGACCCTGTCTGGTAGTGTATGTTGTCAACAGAATGGTGCTATTTTGGGTAAGACTTGAAGCCAATTATTGTATATGCATACAATATACTTCAATATACATGACTGAAATCTGCACAGAGTAGTAGTGTCTGATAGCACGAAACTTGATATGTCAGTAATGGAGGTGTCTAGAAAAGCCTTTAAAATTGCAATGTTCACTGGTCCAATAGTGTATATCGGGGTGTGTGTGTCAACATTGTCTGGTACCTAGCATGTCCCATGTGATGGAGCCTGGTGCTCAAGTGAACCTGACACACAGCACTTTATATGCACTGTGGTTTGGAAAGGGGTCAATGTCCAGTGTGGCCCAGTAACCAGCAGTAGAGCCTGAGACCCAGCACATGGTATAGCATAGGAAGGAGTCCAGTAGAAGCTGATGCCTAGCAGTGTGGATGTGTCTTCAGCAGAAGGAGGGGGCCTGTCAATGCTAATTGCTAGGTATTGTGCAAGACCTGACAGGGGGAATGTTCCCAGCATGGTCTGATGGCTGTCGATTAATGTGGGGTGTGAGGTCAAACTGGACCTGGTACCTAGAGTAGATGTGTGGTCACAGGGGTGGTGGTGTGTCCAGTGTGTTTGATGATAACTGTATGTCAGAGGGGAGGAGTGGAAGAATGGGTGTCAAGCCCTGCACAATCCCTACTGAGTGTGTGTCAGTTCATGGCTGAGCTGGTGTCCGTCAAGGTCTGATCACATTTTGAAGTACATTGGCAGTGTGCATATGATGTCTGAGTGTGCTTGACACTTCCAAGTGTGTGTGAGGCATTGAGGGAGCCAGCAGAGCCTGACACCTAGCAGTGCATGTGAGGCAGCTGCAGGGTGATGTGTGAATTCCAGGGCCTTCAGCTACCCTGGTAGGAGTTGCCATGGAGTTTAGAATGCCCAGCAGGTCTGATATCCAACAGGGATGTATGGGTTGATGGAATGTGGTATCCAGTGGGCCCTGATACTAACATTGTAGATTGTAGTGGTTGGGTGTGATATTCAAGAGGGCATGAACCCTAGCAGTGTATGTGGAATTTCAGTGATATTAGGGTGTCAACCGGGGACCAATACTAGCAGAGTATTTGGGTACAGTAGAAAGAGAGTGTCCTGTATGACCTGATAAGTAGCTGTTAATAAAGGATTGTGTGTTACATCTAGATCCAGACCTAGGAATACATGTTAGATATGTGTGAGGGTTTGTTTAGCAATGCCTGATACATAGCAGTCAATGTGTGGTTTGGTAGGAAGACATGCATGGCCCAATACATAGAAGTATATTAAAGGGTGTGTGTGTATATGTGTGTGTGTGTGTGTGTGTGTGTGTGTGCGCGCGCGCGCGCGCGCACATGATTTTGGGGTTGTGTATCTGGCCTGACAGCTGGTACTTCAAGTGAGGTGGCCTGGCTGTAGTGTCCCATGCTGCTTTATACCTAGTTTTCTAGGTCAGTACAGGAAGATTCCAGGAGTGTTTGAACCAAGCAGTAACTGTGTGTCCTTGTCAGAAGGTAAAGTGTGCAACAGTGTCTGATACCTTTCCCCATGTCTTAGTACATTGTGGTTGGAGGCATGTCTAGCATGTTCTAGAATCTAGCATTGCATGTGGGACAGCAGAAGGGAGTTGAATATCTAGGCCTAATGCCTAGAGAACTATGTGGTGAGTATGGGTGAGCGGAGTCCTTCATGTCCTTACACTTACACTGCATGTAAGTTGTTAATAACGGGAGGGGCATAGGTAGCACATGTGAGTATCTAGGTGTCAGCCCTGCTGCTTTCCCCAGCTGACTGGACCATCCATACAGTGCTGTTATCAGATTAGCTGAACAGCTCATCTCCATCCCACACAATGGGATAGGTTTCAGGCCTCCTCACAACACACAACACACACTACACCTCCACCTCCTCTTAGCCACACAACGTTCACTGTCAGGGATTTGTTGTCTGCTGGGGTGTGTCAGGGGCCAGGTTCTCTCTAGATGTCCTGGGGGAGTGTCCTGCTCTTGCCATGCTCCAGCTTCTGTATTTTCTTGGCTGGTGGCATCAGGGCTCCTGAGTCCACAGTTCATCTTTTCCATGTTATTTCTGATCTTCCTTTCTAGAAGGCAGGAATGTATGTAGTCCTCTACTATCACTTTATGTGAGCATTATAGTGTTTGTATTTGAGGTCAATAGAAATGCTGACTGTGTTCAGTTTTTCAGTTGGTTCCTTATTGCTTGTTTTTAAATCTTCTTCTGCAATCATTTGTGGACAAGCCATTCTCTCTGCCTTGATTTCCATGGGTGACTATGAGAAAATCAGCTGGCAGGATCTTGCTGAGTCTGCTTCTGAGCATTTGTTCTGTTCCACGTATCCAGTCTCCATTACTTCCCTGTAGCCTTTTGTGGATCTCTGAGGCTTTGTGCAAAGTCCGGGGAGAAGATCAGAGTCTGGAGGGATCTCTGCTGTCCTCTGCCATGTCTTCTAGGTTTAGATCCCATTGCTTGTTACATCTTGTGTTTGGGCATCAGACTGGATTTTGCTGATTCTATAGATGAAGTTCAAACATCTGTCACCTTTAGAATAACAACTGGTGGAGCCGGAGAACTCATTAGCTTTGGATTTCTCTCCTCCAGTGGTCAAAGCATTCTGAATGCCAATTTATAGAAATTATGTTAGAATTCTAAATAAATACTTGAGTATTTCTTTGTAAATTGTCTCTGCCTAATACCAGTGAGAAATTGGCCAAATGTATGACCTCAAGTTCTACCTCATCATGTTAGTGGAGGCCTGTGACAGGTGGTTCATGGGTACTGCCCTTCTCAGGAGATCCACTCTAGGGTTCAGAAAGAGAAGCACATTTAATTCCCAAGGCTCTTCTGAAATATTTCTTTACCTGCTCAGGCAGATTTTCTTTGTTATCTGTGAAGACAGAGAGGCATAGGTGACTTTCTGAACTGTCAAAATTCAAAGGGGTCTATGTTGGGCAGGATTCAACAGTAAGTACCCACTGGGAGGCTTCCACAAGGGGATGTTCCTGTAGATTCCCCAGGTTTTGTTGGTAATTTGGGGCGGTTGTCTGTAGTTGGATGGAGGCAGAGAAACCATGTCATCGTCCTCCACAGCATGTCCTCCTGTTGCTGCGTGGAGCCTCTGAGTTCCTATGGAGCTCAGACAATGGCATGCTAGTCTGCCAGGAAGGGGAGGGGAGAGGTGCTCTTTTCCCTCCATGTCACCAATGCTCAGTGTGCACACATGCAAGTCAGGAATTCTCAGGGTCCATTATTCAGGATATGGCAAGGCACCTAGAAGAAAAAGCTCATGTTAGACCATTGATGAGGCTGGCAGAAAGATTCATTCACCACCCTAGACCTGTGGCCTTTCAGATAATAGCTGGTTTATTTCTCGTGGAGTTCAGGACCTAATGAGGCAGGAATAATGACTTTTTTCTTCCCATGTGACTTCCTGTGGGAGAATTCAGTGGGTTCTCCCTGCGAAGCCCTGATTGCAGGGATTGGTTTGTCCTAGCTGCTCTGCTACTGTCCCATAAACGGGCTCTAGGATCAAGAAGGAAATACAGTTTCACCAACATGTCTGTGTCTAGACACTGTGCTTCCTGCACCCAGCTCACTGAACACTTGCCTAGATGAGACAGGATGCACATAAGGTGAAGATGACCTTTGTCTGAACATATCCAGCAGAACCTGCAATTCTTAGGAAAGAAAGGATGTCAATGAGAGTTCTGGAGTTGGCCTCTGAGACTAAAAGAGACCCAGGCTGTTACCACACTAGTCATCCTATCTGTGTCAATGACCTTGGAGGAATTTAAACAGTCCCAACCCGTCAGCCACTGTCCAAAAGAGCAAGCTACCCAGCATCTTTTGGACTCACTTTATCCCACTGGGAAGTGAGTATTACTGAGCAATTTTGGGGTAGTGTGTGAAAAGATCTTGGTACAAAAAGCATGTATTGTCTGCACCTGTTCCTGCTGCCTCCAGGACGTAGGCAGTGGGAAAGGAGTATGTTGAAAGTGTGAGCCTCATCATAATCTGACATTTGACATGTAACAATCTAAAGGCCACCACATGCTCCCTGCAGTGGCCAGCAATATAAAAAGTTCACATTAAACTCACCTGGCCTCTTAGGCATCAACTCTGGTTCCTAAGGGTCACATTCTTAGAGACCATCATTACTAGGGTTTGGAGTCCTGGTCTGCATGTGCTGTCTCCTGAGAGATTCCATGGCTGGCCACATTACCCAAGGCTCCCTTCCACAGGCCATGAGTTCAGTTAAGTGCATCAGGGTGAGACATTCTTTAATGGTCACTCACTGATATACAGACCAGACATGGGCAGAGGAGCAAGCAGTGATTGTCTCTTGGCTGGTTCCCCTTGCTAGGTTTTGTGAATCCCCATTCCCCAGTCTCTGGAACCCAACACAGACTAAGTCACTGGTCAGTGACAGAATGGATGTCACAGCATACAGGTGTGAGAAGATGTTCACAATCTTTGATTCAAATTGTTCCTTCTCAATGGTGTTAGGGTCACAGGGGAGAGATGTGCCACTTACACCAAGTTATATCAATATCCCTCTGTAGCCATGCCACAGCTGTTTCTGTCTGTCTATCTATCTATCTATCTATCTATCTATCTATCTATCTATCTATCTATCTATCTACCTATCAATCTATCCATCCATCATCTATCTATCTATCTATCTATCTATCTATCTATCTATCTATCCATCTATCGATCTCTTGTCCTCTGTAATACAAGCTAAGTGACCACCTACTATTGGGATTGAGGCAGACCTGCCTGATCAGCCTCATTCTTCCTATCCCCTAAGCCAGAGTCAAGTTTAGACAAGAAACAAAAAAACTAATCATCTACTACAGGCTGTTAGATAGTGGTCTCAGTGTTGCTTTCAGCCATGTGCTGCCCAGAGATGAGCCTTGACAATCATCCTATTCAGAGTGGCCATCCTTCACTGCATGGAGAGGCTGTCTGCCTGTCAGGTGCACCTGACAACACTCTAGACAATTGTTCCAGCAGGTCAAGCAAGCAGAATGCCTAGCGGAAAGCCCTAGCTGTATGGTTAACAAGGCTGTGTAGGCCTGACGACTGTACCCAGTCTGGGTACAAAGTAGTTTCAAGAGTGCTGACCCCACCTCTGACCACTGTGCCCTAGGCTAGGTAAAGCCTACTCACTTCCAAAGTGGAGCAATGTCCCAGCATTCCATCCAAAGTGGTACCCATTTTTCTCCAGCTTGCTGTCACTTTCCTGTTAGGAGACAAATATAGTTCTGATGAAACTCTCTAGAGTGAGGCCCCTTCACAAACACATAAACTAGACCAGCATTCAATGGGGCTGTGACTTTTCTGATGGTCAGGCACAGAGATAAATGAAGGCTGCAAATACAACAGCAGGGAAGGACAGAGAGGAAGGAGAGGAAGGAGCTCCCTTCCCCTCATGTGGGGAAACAATTCACTAGGATCACAAGTCCCCCTCAGACAAGGATGCTGTGAAACACCAGCCCTGAAACATATTCCCTTGATAATGAGAATTTTCTGGAGGGAAACCTGTGGTAGTTGGCTTACCTCCTCCTGTGCTGGACACAGACCCTTCATGCTGGGGAAGTGGGCACACTGCCATCTGGACTTCCTGCAGAGCTCCAACTTCTGCTGTCTCAGGCCAAACTTGTAAGTTGCCACCCTGTGTCTCCTGATGTAGAGAGCTCATCACTTTAAAGAGGAAGGACATGTGAATGGGACTCTAGGGGAACTTGAAATATGCGGCACTTAAGCTAGACATACTGTGCAACCCTCTCCCCATGGCTCCTTCCCTCTCTCTCCTCCATCCTCTCCAAATTCATGCCTTAGCCAATTCTTTCCTGCTGCCTCTGCAATCTCTGGTTCTCATCATCTGCTCTCCTCCAGCTCAACTATGTCACTTTATGTAGAAGCGGGTTTGTTCTGTGGCACTGGTGATTTTGAAGTCAGAGTTTTAAATTTGCATACCCACACAGTGAAACAAGTTAATGTGCCAATTGCAAAGGACAGATGACAGTATCAAATACAAACTTAGTGTAGTAGAAACCTGAGGCCTGGAACGAGATCAGTGACTCTGTAATGAGCACTAGCAAGTGAAGACATGTGGACAGAGGGGTTTATAGTGTGACTCACTGTGTCACACTTGGTCACTTCAAGCTTCCACGAGGAAACCTTGAAGTCTCTCCCCTTTTTAAAATTTATCTTACTTTCCCTTTTAATCTCTTAAATTTTGTTTGGGCAGATGTAGGAGTGGAGGGCAGGTGTGAAGAGATAGGATCATGAGTGTGATCAAGATACTGATATAAAAGACACACAATGAATATATAAATGAATAAATAACTCAGCAGAGAGATAAGGAAATAAATAGATGAAATAAGTAAATGAAGAGCATACAGGATAAAAAGAACATTCTCACCCTCAAGAGTGAATGAAATTTAGACATTTTTCAGAAAACAGATACAACTAAGAATGACTGTGTTATGTGTGACAAGCTTGCCCCAAAAGACAAGGATCACTGTTTTCTTTCATAAGCAAAATGTGCAGGTCATAGGCATCATAACATGAACAACAGAACACTCAGGACTTGAAATAGTACAGTGGTGTACCTGGAATGGTCCACAATGTTCCTGGGAGGAACTGATCACCTCTATCATCACGCACTGTCTAGAGTGGGCTGTATAGAGTCCCAGTTGGTTCAGATTTCAGAAACCTTCAGCCCTGGGCTCTCCATTAACCAGGGAGTATGAACAAAGTTCAGTGGCCTAAAACCAACCCAAAGTGGTTTTGACAAATAAGAAAAGTACTGTGGGACCCATGAGCAAGAGGAGCCATGGAAGTCAGCAGACAAGCAGACAGAATCTGGGTGTCAGATGAGTAGAACTGGAAGCTCCTACGTAGAATATGTGGCTTCATGTACTGCCTCTGCCACTGGTGTGCTTAAAGTGAAAGCCCGTCCTTCAACATCCCAAGACAGGCACCAGCTGTCTCAGTGACCCACCTTGAGTCCTCAGCTGTGATCTCAAGGCTCAAATAGAAAGAACTCAATCAATTAGACCAGGTAGCCAATCTGGATGCTCCTGGTTGGTCACATTGAGGTCATGGGATTTGTGACTGGACTGCAGTGGGGATCCTGTAAAAACAGGGTTAGAGAGTGGCCTTTGCATGCTCTGTGCCTTGTTTCCAAGGATGTATCAGCTAGGGCATACCTCCTCCAGCACACTGAATGGGGTCCCCAGAAGAATTCATGACAGCAGTTCTCACCTCCAGGTATCTGTTCACTGGTGGACATAGACTTCTATTCTAAAGGTTAGATTTGGACTTTGCTGCTGTTTGTAGTCCATCCTGGATGACAGTACCTTCAGTTCAATCCCTGAACCTGTTAGGATGAAAGAAGCACAAGACTTGTCTCTTTTCCCTCAAATGTTTGAGGAATTTACCAGTGATGCTATACATACAGTACTTGAAGCCAGGCATGGCAGTCCACATCTGTAATTGCAGTACTCAGGAGGCAGAGGAAGGAGGTCAATCTCTGTGAGATTGAGACTGCATGTTCTACACAGAGAGTGTCGGGATAGTAAGGGCTATATAGTGAGATCCAGTCTCAAAAAAGTAAAATATAAAATGAGGATTCAGAAAATTTCCCCATCTCATTTCTAGAATTCAACAGAATCCTCAAACATTTCTCAACCCTGCCTTCACTGATATGCAGCAGAAACACAGTCTGACACCAG